TTTCTCTTTTTTTCAAATTTCCAAACCTAAACAAAGAGGCCCGAAAACTTGGTGTCTGCATACCTGTTCCAGAATTTGAATTATTGGGGACTTATGAATACCTCCCTGCCTCCAATCCGTGCTTATCCTGAGCAACTCAGCACTGTACCAGTCAAAAAAGAGAAAAGAGAAAAGGGAATTTAAATTTTAACTTAAAACCACTGGACCACTTCCACCAGATCCTGAATGACTCTAAGATATTCTGCTCTTAGATCAGAAATGCTAACTCTCAAAATGGAAGACAGGAATGTGTGAGCAGGTGTAATTTAATGTATACACTAATACGAAGAGTAGGGATATATATTTACACACGTACACACATAAAGATAGTTGGTGAATTCAACACCGATACGAACAAGAAATTAATATTTATATTTATCCCACCTTTGTCCTCATACATCCAAAACCCTTTAATCCTAGAAGAAAGGATAAAATGAGTTTAGCCAACTGAAATACATGATGATCGCAAACACCTGGATACCCAGGATATATTATAGCATATATTATATCATATAATATATATTCATATATTATAGTATATGAAAAAGCAGCCTCGGTCCTCTTATTTAGTTACAAAGAATTTCATCTAGAGCTCTGTGATGATAGCTACATTAATCTCTCCAAAAACAAATAAGGGGAGGGCGGGCAGGCTCAGTCAGCCCCACGACTGCGCCACCCCCACTAAGAAGGGCTCCACCAGACAGCAGAGAACGGGCTCCTGGCAGGGGCTCCCCGGGTGATTTACGCAGGCCCGGATGACAAGGGAAAAGGCATGACTCATCTTGAAATTAAACTATTACAACTAACTTATAAAGCACAACCTTGACATTCTTAAGTACACTTCTCTCTTAAAACTTTCACAACAAGAAACTGGTAACAGCGTTCAATAAAACACCTACTCGTTTTCCACATCCCTCTGCTCTCCTGTGCCAAGTTTTAACATAAATGGGTAGAATTAAATGTAGCCTATAGCTTACCTAACATAATTATATGTTGTGTTTTACACTGTTTCAAAACGGATACATTAAAATAATCCCGTCTTGGCTGCTTCCCACTAGAGTCAATAGGGTGATTAAGGCCAACTGCCACGTCCAGGCTACCCCAGGGAGGGACTCTCCGATAGGAAATGCAAGTCAAAACAGTCACAGACTGGGGTGCACTCCGATCCTTCAGGAAGAAAGCAGTGAGAAGAACAAGAAGAAATTTCTCTTCAGAAACATAAATCATCATTACTTCTGGAAATATTTACTCTGGAAACTGTCCTAGCACATTCCCTTGGATTATACCAAATGGGCCTTTTTTTAAGGTGCCAAAGGAAATGAAGAAATGTCATCAATATAGAGAACAGCACACCTAGCATTCTTTGCTGGATCGCTGTGAATTTTGATAGCGTTAAAACATTTTTATAGGTAAAATAAATGTCAGTTTTGCAAAGCATGATACTGGGCCCTAAGAGACGAGCAGCCTATCCACTGAATCTCTGGCCACGGCAGCCTGCCTCGCCTCACAGGAGACTTCGGCTTTTCATATTTTCTTTACCCAGAAAGCAAAGCTTGGAAAGCTTCTTTCAAAGGGTAACTCTTTCGTACCCTGAAGGGTCGCCTCATAATATGCTAATCTTAGATGTACGGCGGTGGGCTGGTTTTTAAAAATAAAACAAAATACTGTACAAATATTTGAAGAGTGTTAGCGTATTATAATGCCTTCCTGAGTGGGGAGCAGAGATGAGAGGAGAGGCTAGGCTAAATTCCTGGGTTATGAGAAAGGGTTATGTTGCTTTGGGCTGAACGGCTCATAAATTCACGAGGTAATATTCAGGGAAAATGTGATATTTTATCAGAATGTCATTCAAATATAAGGTTTAACATTTACATCACAAGAGCAAGGCACAAAGTAAAAGTATCCTCGGGGAGAGAACCGGCAAGAATAAACAGCGTGATAAAAACGGTGCTTGCTGGAACAGGGCATGGGAAATGGAGGGTAGTGGAGTTTTAGAGACAGCTGACTAAACTTTTTGAAATATGTGACTGGTTATGACATGTGAAGCAATTACCAGTAATGGAAGAAATGTGATTTCAAAGCTCATTTTCCATTCTTCTTCTAGAGCCTACCTGAGGTTACACCTTCCAACCACAAGGTGAAAAAAATAACACAAAGACGGAGAGAAATTACAACACAAGTCTCTTCCCTGGTACAAGGGCTGTCAAAGGTGGCTTTACTCATAAGCAAAAGGTGAAAAGTAATGTACGTATCGCCTGGGGTTTTTTGTTTTATTTTCTTGCCAAAAGAGATCGATGCGACGTAGCAGAACAGACAAAACCCATTAATTAGAGAAGTCTTTCCAGAACGCGCACGTGGTTTTACGATTCCAAAAAGGATAGAGATAAAGAAGAATCATTTGTCTAAAGCGATAATAATTTTGAGGAATATATCCCCTGGAAACAAAGTGAATACATTCAGAAACGCTGTTTAGATTAGTCTAATTCTATAGAATCCAAATGTGCACCAAACACTGCGCTTTTTATGTTAAATTGCTGTTGAATTTGTTAACCCACAACTGATTTCCTGTGTTATGAAATCTTGGAGATTACAGCTAACTTGAAGCAACAGGGATAATTCTTGACAGTTAATGGTAGATTTGCATGCATTTTCCAGAAGGACTAGCATCTTGGGGCCTCGAACTGGTAGCTCAACATTGCCCCCTACTGCCGGCGACTGGAAAGCGAGGGGGTGGGCCGGTGCCCAGCAGGAATTTCACCCCAAGCCCGCACATGCCAGATGGCAGTGCTCAGACAGAGCCAGAGAACCACAGACCTTCCAACGATTATTCTCTTCGATCTCAAAATAAATTATTATGAATTTGTTAAAAGTCATTGAGAAAGGCTTGAAGCAACGCTTGAATTTAATTTGGAAGCACCATTCTTTTATCTTGGCCAGAACCTGCACTCGGCTGATAACGATCGTCCTGAGGCTGCTGAGAAGAGACACTGCAGCCATTGATTTCACGCAGAACACTTAGTAATGCCACACCAACTGCAAGGAAACCGGCTCTGGAGAATTCCCAAGATTGCTCTTCTTTTTAGTGTTTCTTACACAAGAGTTACAAAGTAAATAGAAGATTTTCCATCCCACGAATGTGCCATCGCCACCAGATGGAAAAAAAACACAACACATAACTCAGTCTTTTAAAGGAATCCATAATGAACATGGCCAGGTTTCACTTTAAAAAAAAAAAAGAAAAAGAAAAAAACCTTTGAACAAAAGCAATTCAAAATAATTTGTTTTACGAAATCAATGGGTTCCTTTCTTATTTGTCAACTCTAGTTGGTGGAGTTGCTGAGTTCCCATCCTGAAGCCATGCCAATGAGGTGCTAACTCGTTATGTAAATGAACAAAATCAGAATGTCACAGTGCAAACAAATCCCCTGAAATCGAAGCTGCCTTTTCCTATACATCCCAGAAACACAGAGCAGATTCTCCACAGGTTACTTTTGGAAACTCACTAAAGAGACTTAGGCCCAGGCTTTTCATCACCTCCCGCTCAGCTTTACAATGTTCAGTTCTGCGGTGATTCGGGTCTTTGGAGAAATCCACTTTTTGTGATACTATTAATACATGAAGAGGATTATCATTTCCTGCCTTAGATATATGGAATGACCTGGCTTAAAAAATCGGAGGAGAGGTGTGGAAAACAGGACTTGTGGATTCCGACCCAGGCTTTCTGACCGGGGCCCCTTAGGGTTACGACTCGTTATTTTCATTATTATAAAACAGAGATTAGCAATCGCTGCCCATGTTTGCACACGGGTTCATCGCTCCAGCACATTTCAAATCCGTGCAACAGTCCTCTCCCCAGACTCAAGCTGGCTTTAATCACTTGTCCACTGCCTTCCAAATCCAACTGTTTGGGGGCGTTCAAATCCCCACTCCCCCCCTTTGTGGCTGCATGACCTTGAAGAACTTATGTGAACCTTTTGTGTCCCAGTCACCTGAATTTGCAAAAAGGGGGACAATAACACCTACGTTATGGGCTTGTCATAAAAATTAAGTAAGTCATATATAAAAACACTTAGAACAGTGTCCTGCAATTAATAAATATCACATATTTACTCTCATTATTGTTATTTAAATGCAGGCTTAATTCAACACCTCCCAGTGGCCTCAACTTGAAGCCCCCAAATTCCTTGCTCTGGTTGCCCTGTAACCTCGCCATTTCTGATCTTGTTCTTGCATTTCCTGGGGCCTCATGTTCCTCTCCAAATGCCCTCTACAGCCCCACTTTCCCATCTAAAGTCCCCAGAAGCTACCTGTGCTGTTTCACGAGAGTCCCAGATCCAGCGGTCTGAACTAAGACTCCCTGCTCTGGGCTGTGGCTTTCACTTTTTCATCTCTATAACAAGATTTCATTTTAATTAATGTAACACCTGGTTGTAGTCATATTTCTCTCCTTGTGAAACTGAATGTAGTGGTTAAGAGCACGGGCTAAAGAGCCAGAATGCCTGGGTCTCAATCTTGCTCAGCCACGTACTCCATGACACTAAGTGCAAGGCATTTACTTCTCTGTGTCTCAGTTTTCACATCTATAAATTAAGACTCCTTACAGCTTCTGCACCTCATAGGACTGCTAGAGAATCTTAAAAGTGTTAAAGAGGGAAAACCCATAGAATAGGGCCCGCTGCATCTATAGAATGCAAACCACTTTTAGATAGTGTTGTCCTATTGCTCTCCCCTGTCGTGACTTCCCAGCATATTCTAGCACGTTCCCTCACAGTAAGGGAATGGAGGGAGAAAATGCTCATTGCACCGAAGTAAGGATGTACTGACAAAATCTTGGTCCTTCCCATCACCTAACCAAGAATAGCCAACCTCAATAATTTAGAATAAACAAATATGCATTTGCCTATGCAAACCAGGCAGCAGAGGGTTTAAATAGCACAAAGCCCCAGACCTCAGGTACTTACCACAACTTCCATCTTCTTCCACTGTTCTTCCAGTTGAGTCATGGGTTGACACCAAAAATCAGTGCACTTTCTGTATCGATTGCCTTGAAACCAAAACTGTCTCAGCCACTCAAACTCAACCTGCGGACGAGAAAGATAAAGCAGTGTAATAATGACCTTGTGATAGACAATCAAGGACAATAACTTCATCAATCAATTCTCCTCCAGTAACTTAATAGCCATAGGGTGGAGAGAATGTGTGAAAAGCTCAGCCTAACCAATTCCCAATATAACCTGGAGTCTCCAGAGCATTTTTGCAAAGCCAAGAAAATAGTAGTCTTAGAGCTGAGGTCCTTTTTAGAAAGATAATCCAGTTCAGGCTGGAGATGGGTTTTCAATCACATTTACTAGTCAGACATGAGGAAACTATAAGTCAATCAACAATAAAAAAAAAATACTGAGCTCCTAGAGTATACGGAGAGCAGCCTGTACTATGTATGATGGGATAAAAACAACAAATTATATTTTTTATTAAGCACCTTTATTGAAGACTAATATTAAGAGTCAAACACAGATACATATTAGGAGGTATCAGTTTTATGTTTCTTAGATTACAAGAAAGAATTTACCCATGGGCCAAGGGGAGCTGATGATCATCGCAATCCATATAGCTAAACAATATGAACAATACAAAATACACTAATTCTACAGCAGCATTCAAATTCTCACTTCTCAACTCAGGGCAAAGAACAATAGGTACGTAATAGGTAATAACTTATTTTCCTTCCTACGAGCCTGCTATTCAAACTTCAATGATTTGCCTCATTAGTATTCTTTCTCCAATTCTAACAAAATTCCTTCATCCCCTTCCCCAGTCTCAGTCCAGAGTCTGGGTGGAGTCGAGCTCAATACCATAGAGAAAAGTTCTACTCAAATCCGAGCCAATCAGTCCATAATTGGACTAGTCAGAGAATTGAGTTGGAAGGGGATAAGCATGTTTGCAGAGTAAATCTTGAGACTGTCACAAGGCACTGGAAGAGAACACTGCAACCACTCTGGCCCCAGATTGGAAGAATACAGGCAACGTTCATGACAGCTAAAAACCAGGTCCTGGTGACATCAACTGACTCTTGATCAAACTATTCCTGAAGTCCATAGTATGTAAATCAATCAACGTTTTCTGTGCCTGGAAAGTGAAATGAGTCCAACATATGTAGATAAAAATCAGAATAAATCCTAGGAGAAATAAATTGTTTCCTGTTTTCTAAGTCTTCTATCACACATCTTCAACTTGAAAATCAAATTTTTCCATCAAAGTACAATTTCCGCTTATTCCCAAAACTCTTTTTAACTTTGCCCTCTAAAAAAAAAAAAAAATGTAGAACTTTCACAACTTAATGTTGGGTCAACTGGCTTTGCTAAGGTAATCATGTTCCATATACAGACCCAGAGCCATTATAATCTTCACCTGTTACCACAAAGAATTTTTTTTGTTTGTTTATCCATATTGAACTTTCATGAGGCAAACAAAAGCAACTTGTGAAGATTTAACAATGGTGAAAATGGCTCAAATAACTAACCTGAGAACACCAAGTTATATGAAAGGGTTTTAGTTTACATTAACTAAATGTTTGTTTGATATGTAGAACTGATTTCAGTTAAAGCTGTTTAAACAAAAAAAAAGGAATGTAGACAATATTAAGACAATACTTGCTGAACTTCATCTGCGGTATTAAAGACAATGGTTAACAGAAGTAAACCTGATTGCTTTGAAAGGAGATCGAATACAAGTGTAGTTCAACTTCTGTCAAGATACGAGTTAAACAAGATTATTTGCAACAAGAAAAAAAAAACTCTTTTTAATAGATTTCACATGAAATCCGTTCACACTATAGGAAAGGCCTATTGGCAAAGCATCATGATCTATGATACAGAGGGTTGCAAAGATTTTAAAGAGTCTTTTTATCTTTGAGCTGGTTATAACCACTGACAAGGCATATAAGTCTTGGTATCCATGGTACAGGTACACCAGGAAATAGAATAGATTACCACATATAAACACTTCACTCACCCTAACGGGGAACCCCAGAGTCTGGACTCCAGTGGATTAAAACACAGAAGCAATGAAAGGGGTACCTGGCAGATTTTGCTATCAGACTAGAGAGCAGAGAATTGAACCCTGTCCATTATCATAAATCATGATGCCATCTTTCTCCTCCAAGGTCCAGCTCTCTTTTGAGACAAACAGAGTCACAGATAAAAATAAGTCCTCTGGAGTCAGTTCCAAACTGTGCTCGGCTCCTGAATAGCTATGTCCTCTGTAAAATAAGGATAATTATATAATAACTACATAGGCTTGTGGTGTGGATTAAGTGGGTTAATAATGAAAGGCCTACTTGCCAGCCACTTTCTAGATGCTAAGAAGATAAACTGAACAAGGCCACAGGCCTAGAACTTATTGTCTTCAAGGATCTCCCCGTCTTATGAAATTTTCTGAGCAGGAAAAGTCTTAACATTCAAATCGACTCATGTCCAACCCTTTTGCACTGAGGCCAGTCTGAAAAGTTCAACACTGAAAACTTGCTCCCTGCTGAGTTTCATTCACGAGTTGACGTACTTCCCACGGGACACATTCTCTGGGGGCATCAAACCCACTGGCATACGTTTCCCTCGAGTCCGTAAGCCGCCTTTTTCATTTCCATGTTGCAGGCGAAATCTATTACAGGACTTGAATCGAACGCCACCCTCACCCACTGCCCCCTTGCCAAGAGAAGAAGTTGGCTCCTTTCTTAAATTAATCAAGGAAGCAGAAAATGTTTCCAGCTGCTTGATTCAGAGTTTGTGTTACCACCAAAACTAAAAAGCAAACAAAAACATTTTTTAACTCCTAAACTCTGGGGACGAGAAAGGAATGGCGCAAGGTGAAGGTCAAAATTCAGAGCAGAGAGGAAGCCCTATTATTTCAAGGCTAAAAAAAGAAAAACAACAAACCTAACCACTGTCCAACCGATAAAGCTCTAACTGTGACAGGAGGGTCTGCGCCCCTCCTCCAGAAGGGAACCCCCACAGGGAGGCGCCAGCTGCCCCTGTGGGAGGGTCGTTCCCTGGCCCCACCACAGGTTGCTGGTATGCAGAGTCATGAAGCTTGTTGACCAAACCTGCAGACTGTGGACTCGCACTTTCTAGATTCACCACCCTTCGATCTTCTGAGCAATTATAGCACAAAGGTAAGTGAGCCCACAGGGTCAGAGGGCGCACGGGCACGCAGGGCCTTGAAGGGCCTTCTGAGTCATCAGAGACAACTGAAAACACGTCCACAACAGTGTGAGTTTCAGAGCTGTGACCCCGAAACCTTCTCTGTGACCTTAACTGCATTGCCTTCTCCCTGGAATAGTCAAAAAGGAGATCGATCAAGAAAAGAGTTTCTCCTGGAAATGACTAGGTTTTGTATGAAGGAGGAGAAGAAAATTCACCCTCCTCCCTGAGTCTTAGTCACTGGGCACTCAGAATTAGGGATCAAAGCTCAGCCTCATTCTTCAAGGCCGCTACATCACCCTGCCGCCCTTGCAGCTCTGTCGCCCTTGCAGGTAAGCCGAGGGTCGCCTGCTTCTCCTCTGCTCTGGAGACCTCATGTGGTCCCTCAGTCATGGGTAAATATGCCCATGGGGGTTCACCTCTCACTGGAATAAGCAAAATAAGTTATTTCAAGGAGGATGAGGATGACCTTAGACCAGCACAAGGTGCTAAAGCCCAGTCTGCAGCATTAGGCTGTGAAGGTGCCTGGACAGGAGTTCTTAGGAAAGAGCAGGTCTCATCAGAACAGAACGAGAGCCAGTCACATCAAATAACACACTATTCTAGGGGAAATTTACTGGCTAGGTAAAAAGGCTGAATTCCCATTTTATTATTTTTGAGAAGCAAAACAGTGTACTTAAACAACACAGAGGAAGATGCTGCTTAAAGGTAGACAAAGTCTTGCCTAAGCACCTTCCATCAAGAATAAAAATCTTAAGGTACTTAGTTCCAACCAGGGCTTCATCCTGTAACTTGTCCAGCAAAGCCACAAGGCCTTTAGGAACAAGGAAAATACACAGGGCCTCCCTGGTGGCCTCTGGGCTAAGTCTCAGCACTGTCACCACTGAGGCCTGAGTTTGATCCCTGGCCAGGGAGCTACCCACATGGCACAGCAGACCTCTCCTGTCTCATCGGCTGCTCCCCTCAGCAGCATATTTTGGTAGATCCACCTTTTCTGTTCCCCACTCTGTCTCTGCTGAATCCTCTCACCCCCACCCACCCCCGCACCTCTAGCCTGCACCCCAGCTCTTCTACACACACACAGTAAGAGCCAGGGTCACTCTTGCAGTCACATGGGCTTCCGTTTAACAACAGGACACAGCAGAGAGTGAGCGGGCAAGTGTTCAACACAGGCCAGCTTGTATGCACAAGACCAGTATTTAACAGTGTGTCCAGACATGTGGAATTAATTCTGACACTGAGGAGATGGCCTTGAAGAATCGAAGATGGAGGAGGTGGGGGGCAGGTGTGCAGAAGACTGGCACACATTCTATTGAGATTGCAGATAGCTCTCTCCAACCAGGGCTTCATCCTGGTTCAACCCTAGTCTGGACTCAAGGAGCTAAGGTTTCTCACCCAGCTCTGCCCCACGTCCCAACACACACAATGCCCAAGGCTGATAGCCACTTTCTGAAGCAGATGGGTCCGAATGTTTATATTCTGCTGGATATAAACAGTGTAATTTCACAGATCTCCCCCGTCCATTGATCATAAGAAAACCATAGAGTTAGTCACAGATGAAAACCAGGAAAGGCAGGGGGGTGAACAGCCCATGGGCCTGTTAAAGGGAACAACCGGTTCAGTCAGCCCAACTCCTAAAACCTTGAGGTTTTTAGAGAAGGATGGAATCACATTTCCAGATTAGAATTTCTTGACTGCCAGTACGGAAAAAGACTTAATTTTACTCCCAAGTCTAATTTAGTCAGGTCACCAGGGCACAAAGCTTGTCTTCCCTGCGGTGCTAGCTATTAGCAACATCGTGAGCAAGAGCTGATGAGAGGAAATGTGGAGCCCTGGTCAGGCACAATGAAGGCAGAAAGCCAGGCCTGGGTTCAGCTTAGCTGCAGACATGACAAGTGTTTCCCTGGAAGGCAGAGGGTCTTCACCTGTGGTTCCAGAGATTGTGGAATTTCACAGAGTCGCAAGGACAGTCATATAGAAAACAGTCTTGGAAGATAGTTTCTCCCTTCAGAACAAAGGGCAGATTTGTTAACAGACTTGGAAGACGAAGCCTCATGCTTGCTACCTACTATAAAAGATTCAGGGTCCCTTAAGCGCAGGTTCCGCTTCTATATTTCCTGGCCTGTTTTGCTTACCCTGCAGAGACAGAGGCTTGGAGAAGAGGCACATAAAATCTGATCCTCTGGCCATAACTGCCATCAACAAGGTATCCTTTGTCTCCAACTGAGCGGCTCATGTCTTAGACCCACATGAAATTACAGCAGGTGAACTCGCCCACTTTCAAGTGGGATGGAAGCTCTGCCCCTTCATGTTCATGAACGTGCTCACCTCGTTGTGGATGTCTTCTCCTTGTTTCAGAACTGCAGGCTCCAAGGACTTCAAAGAGACATCACCATTGTCCGCTTCATCACGAATATTCTGCAGACCCAACTGGCAGCGCTGAAGGATGTAATCCAGCGTTCCGGTGGAGCACTGCAGAGACAGAACCAGCAGTCAAGACCAAGAGCCAGGTCCAGGCTTACCATGGCTCTCTTCTAGGGCTTTCTGTGCACTCACCCACTGCCCCCCAGCTCAGCCTCCACAGTAGTCTGAATCACCACAGTGGTCTGCCCAATGGGCTTGGCGCTGCCAGCCTGGTCTCACCTGGGCTACTCACCTGGCTGGCATCTGCCTATCTATCTGCCTGTCTGTCTGTCTATTTCTTTTGGATATTTGTGGTAGCATCTAATAGTATCCTAAATAAGGGGCTAATAAGTAACCAAAAGATCAGGGGCACTAACTTTCTCTCAAGGGCCCTAACCCTAACAATAAGAAACAAAGGTAACCGGACTGAAGAATTGGTTTAAAAGCTCATAAAATACAACAGCAATGGTAGAAAAAAATAATAGAAGTTATAAAAGAAGGAAAGAGAACACAAGTTCCTTTTCTGCAAAAAGCAAAGGCACACAGCAGGTAGCTGCACCCCTCGGCAAAACCAAGTCTTCATATAACAAGGAGTATGTGGTTCATGCCCTCAAGGCACATTCCAAGGCGTAACTTTTAGTGCCGGGCATCAGCCAGGGCACAGATAACGAGTCTATCCCTCCCTAAGTCTGCAGGAGCAAAGCAGAGGTCAAATGGACAAAGTCCTCCGAATGATCATATGTTAGAAGAGGATGCAGATGGCGTGTGCATCCGTGTGTTTTGATAATGACATGATTTCCTAGAATGATAAAAAGCAAGTTATAAATATCCTTTCACCCCAATGAGGGAAATGCATTCCTGAGGTATTTTGATTTTAATATTTATAAATTAAGCTGATCCTTCAGAAATAACCTTGAAGGCTAACCCCCACTACGAAATTTTTGCACAGTTACTACCATTTTACGCCATATGACATGGACGAGTTTGGGAAAAACAAATTTTCTTTGCCAAAAACAGAAGTTTGACTAATAACATGAAGATCGCTGAGTGATGGGAGCAAAAAGACAGGCAGCTCCAGCTGGATACAGAAATAAAACAAAAAGTGGAAGGGAGGGCCTCCCTGGTGGTGCAGGCAGTTTAATGCAGTGCTGTGAAGCTGTCCACAGCCTCTGCAGCACAGGTTTGAGCCCGGCCTGTTGGAAAGATACCCACATGGCGTGGCAGACCTCTCCTCTCTCACCCTCTGCTCCCCTCAACAGTGTATTTTAGTCGATCTACCTGTTCTGCTCCCCACTCTGTCTCTGGTGAATCCTCTCACCCTACCGCACATCTGGCCTGCACCCCAGTTGTTGTATGCATGAATAAATAAATCTTAAAAAAAAAATAGTGTGGAGGGGAATGACCACTCTTTTTTGCCTCCGTCAACCCTACACCATCTTCTTAAATGCCATTCAGTCTATAAATGTATTCTGCTTGCACCTTCAATTTCCCAACTATAGCGTGACCTTCAGAAGAGGTTACTAATTGCAAGGCCATTTATTAAAACAAAGCCTAGACACACCCTAACTTTCCCATCAGCAGAGGAACTATGAACTATGAACTATGATGGGTTCATATTTTAAGCCAAGGGAGGAGCTAAGGGAGAAAGATTTTAATCTGTGTATACAGAATTTTATTTGATGTAAAGAATGTATAATCAAACCTCTTATTTTTAACTTATTTTTAGCTTTTTTGAGATAAATTGACATCATAAATTTGCACAATTAAAGCTTACAATTCAAAGTTTTTTTAGTATATTCACAGAGTTGTACAACCTCCATTACAATTAATTTTAGGACACTGTTATGATCCCAAAGAGAAGCACTGTACCCCTCAGGCACTCTCTATTTGCAACCTTCCCAGCCCTCGGGTGACCCCTAATCTACACTGAGTCTACAGGTCTTACTATTCTGGACATTTCACATAAACGAAATCATACTTGATGTGCTGTTTTATGAAAGAGTTCTTTCTTAGCATAACATTTTCAAGGTTCATCCATATTGTGACATTTATCCCTAGTCCATGACCAAATAATATTTGACTAGATGGACAAGCCTTATTTTGCATAACATTCATTTATGTGTTGAAATTTTGTATTGTTTCCACCTTCTGGCCATTATGAATCCAGCCACTATGAACATCTACAATCTTTGCCTAGAATTGCTGGGCCATAGAGTAACACTGCATTAACCTTCAGAGGGCGTGGCAGGCTGTTTTCCACAGTGGTTGTACCATGTTATAATCCCTCCAGCCATACATGGGCGTGCAAATTTCTACACATCCTCATCTTGTGTCATTTTGATGATAGCCGTTCTAGTGGGTATGAAATTGTACCTCATTATGGTTGTGGGGAATTGCAGGGAAGTGCATTTCCCTGATGACAGAGACTCGGACATCTTTCCACATGCTCGTCGGCCATTTATATGACTTCTCTGAAGTCACGTGTACTGAGATCCTTGCCTTCTTTTTTTTCCTTTAAGTTTGGGTTGGTTATCTTTTTAATTGTAGAGCTATGGACTCCCCTGGTGGCCTAGGAGTTTAGTGTCAGCACTATCACCACTATGACCTGAGTTCAATCCCCAGCCAGAGTGCAGCAGACCTCTCCTGTCTCGCCCGCTGCTCCCCTCAGCAGTGTATTTCAGTAGATCTGCCTGTTCTGCTCCCCACTCTGTCTCTGTTGAGTCCTTTCACCCCCCCGCACCTCTGGCCTGCACCCCAGCTCTTCTACTTATAAAAAGAAAATGAATATTTTTTAAAATGAACAACTGAAAAAATTAAAATTAAAAACTGCTGAGCTACATGAGTTCTTTTATATATTCTAGATACAAGTTCCTTACGAGAAACGTAATTTGCAAATATTTTCTCCCATTCTATGGTTTGTCTTTCCACTTTCTTGATAGTCCCCTTCGAAGCATAAAAGTTTTAAAAATCTGGTGTGGCCCACTATCTCTATTTTTACTGTGAACGCTTGTGCTTTTAGTACTATAGCTAGAAAAAAAACACACCTCACTGTTACTTCTAGTACTTCATACTGATAAGTAATTATCACTAAGATTCACTGAAGCAAAATAAAAAGTGTAGAACAGAGCTCAGAGAAGGTTACCATTTGCATTAAAATATTTTTAATTACACACATATTTGCTTATGTATGTCTTGAATATCATTGAAAGGATAACAAGAACCTGATAACGTTAGTTGCCTCTGGGGAGGTGGAGCTGGTTGGCCTGAGAAGAAAGACACTTTAACCGTATACCCCGAGGTATTCTGAATTTTGAAACATTTGAATAACTATCTGTTCAAACTATGATTATACATAAAAGTTAAGTTAAAAAAAAGAACCTATGTTGAATTCCAAGAACATTCTGTCACAACTAGAAAAAAACTGAAATCAAATAAAGGCTGAGAGTCGTGAGCCATAATTAGTCAGATGCAACCAAAACACTGAATAGATCTCTTCACTGATTAACGAAATGAATTTCAAAACATCATTTCCTTCAGACAATCTGTCTCCTGTGTATTGTGAACAGGCAGAAAATAGCACATCACCTTGTCTGGCACAGATTAGACATTTCATGTTAATACTGTATGAAGGAGAAGGCAACTGAAGGAAAAGCGGAGGCTATAAAAGTTGCGTGGATTTTCTTCGCCCCTTCTGTTGAGGAAAACAATAATGCAACTTTTGTGTTAGGGGAAAAAACCTTCCCTCGTATTGAAGATACAAATATAAAATAAAGTTAGAGGAAAACAGAAGCCCACCACCTCACCCTATTTTAGTTATTTTCCTTACTAGTGAGTGGCAGTCCACACAGCTGCCATCAGTATATACGTATTAGTGTATGTGTGCTGTTCATTGTTTGTTCATAAATATTCAAAACTACCATTTCCAATGGTTGTTCGTGGAGGTGGTGTGAACAATCTAGCTCTCTTGTTAGCATGTTACAAAGGCACTTTTCACGACTATCTGTCACGTTAGAGAAACAGCTTTACTTACGTCTACACGCACACACGTCTACTGAATTATTTCCTAGGCTTTATTCCCCACAAGTAGTGTTATAAGATCAACGGCGTGAATATTTTTGTGATACTGAACACATATTCCCACACAGCTTTCCAGACATATGCCAACCAGAAAAACAGCCAGCAGTGCATGCAGGTACCCGTTTCACTACAGCTTCACAAGCACTGAACATTATCATTTTTGACTCTCTAAGCCCTACAGAGTCGTCAACCACAGTTACCTCAGTAGAAAGTGAAGGAAGGAAGATACAAGAAGAATATGCTTAATAGTCACGCATTTCAAGTGAGCCACAGAGAAGGAATCTTGTGAGGGCTCGAGCACGTTCCTCCCAGAGTGCACTGCACAAAGGTAAACAGTCCTTTCATACAAAGCGGAGCACATATTAGCTACTTACAAGTGCTTGCTCACGCCTGCTTTCCTCTTTTCTCCCCTCCTAGCCTCCTTTCCTCCTTCCTGCCTGCCTTCCAACTCAGAGCCAATTTCCGAACAGAACTTACTTTCAAGTCTCTAACATAATCATTTGTGTATTTGTTTATTATTTGTCTCCCCAACCAAAATGGAAGTTCACCAAAGGCAGAGGCCACAGCTGTCGTGACCAGCTCTCAAGCCTGTGCTGCTGGACCCGTACCAGAGATGCAAATACTGAGATGAATGTGTGAATGGGAGAGAGGAGAGGGTGCTGAGGAGAAAGCAAGAAGGAAAGCTCGATCGGCTGCAGGCACCTTCATTTAAACAGATGCTCTCTGCTCCCTGGCAACATGGCCCGTCAACTAGAGAAGCTACTTAATCACATTAAGACATGACACTAACTTGCCTCCCTGGTGGCACAGGGGTTCAAGTCTCAGCTCTATGAAGCTATCACCAGCCACTGCAGTCTGTGTTCGATCCCCAGCCAGGGAGCTACCCACATGGTGCAGCAGACCTCTCCTGTCTCCCCACTGCTCCCCTCAGCAGTGTATTTCAGTAGATCTACCTGTTTTGCTCCCCACTCTGTCTCTGGTAAATCTTCTCACCCCCACACCTCTGGCCTGCACCCCAGTTCTTGGATGCATAAATAAATAAAAATAAATCTTAAAAAAAAAAAGACTCGACACCCACGTATGGCCTCCCGCAGTCTCAGGACTGAAATATCTGCCCGATGTGTGGGCCCTGGTCCCCTGGGGCTATCGCTATAAAGCAAAGCACAAGTGCTAAGCCTGGGTGCGAAGCCCACTCGACACCCTCTAACCTAGTTGCTCTGCTCTCTGGAGCCCCTCTTAACTGAGCACACAGCACCTGGGACTAGCAGGGATGTGCCTCTGCTGTAAGTTAGTTTCCACGCTGAACTGGCCACTCAGCTGATCTTCAGTCACTGCCAGCTGTTGGTGGAATTCAGTAAGAGTTTGGAATGTGGACAAGCTGGGAGGCTCAGAAATTCCTTGGGACCACCTTCTCCTTAATCTACAGTCACACGTCCAGAGCCTGACTGGGGGGACAGTCAAGGGGGAAGTGAAATTCCCAACCTTGGAGCGAGTCCCAGTCCGCAGGAGCTCCCGCAGATAGCTGCCCCCACCCGCTTCTCTTTCCGGCCATCCCTTGCCCTCACCCATCACAGACTCACTCCCTGCAGAAAATCTCTTAACTAACACCTGCCAGCAGCACTTACCTTCTCCAAGAAACGTAAGCCAAAGGAGCAAAATGTACTTATCCCATGCTGTGAAAATACTTCTGAAAATGATCCAACCCAATGCGAAGCTAAAACAGCAAGTAAATCGAGGCGAAAGTCAAGTTAGATGGAAGCGATTTTCCTATCAAATCCACTTCCAAAGCACTATGATGAATTGCTCGTTCAACTACTTCTGCCGCATTCAATTAAGTTTGATTCGCATTTTTATTTACACTTACCTCTGCCACTCGGTGGGTAGAACTAAACCGAGGTGGTAAACCAGCCAAAACACAGTGTTGGTGGGTGGCATTGAGATCATCTGCAAGAAAAATCCCACAAAATTTTAAAACACACCCATTTATTAGCCAGTATATACTATTTAACTAACAAAGTAAACAGCAAAGAGTCATTCAAAAAGAATGACAATACCATAGTATTAATACTTACTCTTGCATTCTTCCAGCCTTTGTAAGTAGGATGCCTTTATAGGTACATAAAACCATGACACTTTCAAGAACGGAAGGGAAATGTTATTAATAACCGTCCTGGGACAGCAGGTGCACGCTTGGACCGTGCTTAGCACACAGCTAAGTCATGGCTATGCGAATAGGCCTGGTTGGTGATACCCACGCCCCAAAAAAGCGCCGCACAGACACAGCATGTGTTTGTATGGAAGGTTTGTGAGAACAGCATCGATCAAGTGCATCGGTGCCATCTTTCTAGTAGCAGGTGTTACCTCGTGTCCCTGAGTCACATGGAATTAAGATCTATGCGTGTATTTTAGATATAAAGTTATTATAAACTTAATAAACAACAGAAAAATGTAAATAAAAATTTATATGCCTGGGAAACCAAAAACCTCATGTGACTCACTCTACTGAGCTATTCACTTTATCACAGTGGGCTGGAACTGAAGCCACTGAGTCTCTGAGGTGAGGTGTGCCTGTACCACCTCTCCTTAAGAACGGAAATGTGAACTGAAGAACTCCTGTTTCTAGATATTATAGAGTGATGGTGACCAGGTTAACACAAAATAGAGTCAAAATAAAAGACAAAACCTCCTGATCTTAGACAGAGCAAGATCTAACCTGAAGGGGCATCCCTGGTGGCGCAAGGGGTTAAGTCTCAGCACTATGAAGCTATTCGCATCCACTACAGCACGAGTTCGCTCCCCGGCCAGGGAGCCGCCCACATGGCACAGCAGACCTCTCCTGTCTCCCCGCTGCTCCCCTCAGCAGTGTATTTCAGTAGATCCACCTGTTCTACTCCCCATTCTGTCTCCGATGAATTCCCTAACCCCTGACACCTCTGGCCTGCACCCCAGTTCTTCTATGCATAAATAAATAAATCTTAAAAAAAAAAATAAAGTCTGAAATGAAGTCGACAATGCCAGATCTGGGAAGAGAGAATCCCAGGCAAAGAAAATCGGTAGGGTGAAGGCACCAAAATGCAAATGAGTTTACGGGACTTGAAGAAGATACACCAGTGAAGCTGCAGCAAGGGGAGCAACAGAAAAAGTTGGACCAATTGAGGCGGTCTTCTCTGTTGATTACAGTTAACCCACATCAGCTTACAACACAAGCCTTCAGGAAATTTCAAGCAGGAGGGAAATTGTGATCCAAGTTTGAAGAGGCTGCTCCGGCAGCTTCACAGGAAAGAACAGGGGCTGTGAGGGAGCCAGGTGGGAAGCAGGGAGATCAGAAGCAGCTGCTGTGACCCTAGCTGTTGTGACTTGCTAATAGACTGAATAAGTGAAGTGAGAAGAAGAGAGAAATTCAGAGCAACTTTTGGGCTTTCCACAGAACTGAGTGAAGATGACTTGAGTTCCAAAACGAAGACACTGTCCGAAAGTAGCGCAAAAGGCCAACGTGAGGTGCGGGTGAGAACGTCAGGGAAACGTGGGCTTTCAGTGCAAATATGAAGACAGTAGGGAGGCTAAGAGGGTCAAAGCAGGCCCAGCCTCCGCAGATGTGGCCTCAGATGTGTGACTTAGTGCTGAGGACCACGGAGGACCATCTCACCCCAGTTCGCCCTCTCTGCGATGCCAGTTAAGGACACACCTGAGAATTTCTGATTGACCCAACCAGTTTGCTTAACGCAGGTTTCAGAGTCAATCAAATATAAAATAACAACAACAAAGAGCAGAGGTTGAAGGAAGTCCTTCAGATCAGATTCCCAAGCAGGGTTGAAACAATTTCTAAGAAAGACCTAACTGCCAGTCTCATCTCCCCAAACAAAAGCCACGCTGCTCCCATGTTATATATTTATACCAGGATACATAACACCACGAGGGGGTCAATCATCTTAATGAACAGATTTGTTAAGTGCTCGTGTTCCATGGAGGAGCAACTAATCTGAGACGGGACGATGGGCAAATACAACATTAAAGTAATACTTAGGGGCTTCTGCATTTATTTAAATCCTCAGTAACTCTCTAATCAAACACCCTTTTTTGAAATTGGTCCCAAGTGTCTCTAATCCTTTATGATTTTTAGAACAAACCCTGTAATTTTCATTGAAGAGCTTCTAATTTATCTAAAACTCTAAGTCTGTAAAAGTAGCCCAGGCTTCACAGATTGTGCATCTCTAAAGACATCCTCAGCTTTGAAAGACTATTCCTAGTCATTTTTAGAAAGAAAACATGAAAGAATATTTATTTGTCCCAGTTATCTCAGAATACAGCTAAAACTTGACTGACTCTGTAGTCAAGGATAGTCAAGTGGAATCAGTTTGTAGAATTTATTAAACAAAACAAATAGAAAAGCAGCTCTTGCTTTTTGCTGGCTAAACTCCGCCTCCTCTATCAATGGGTGGAAAGAGCTCTGGACATTCACTGTAGCATGAAATCTCATCTCATATAGAGAAGACCACAGGTGCAAAGGCACAATTTACCCTGGGTAACCAGCTCATGCCCAGGACTTTTCTGGTTTTAACACTAGAGTCTCGCCCCCTGAGATGCTCTCCCCTCACCTCGCACCACAAAGGAGGACACTGGTCACCCTAAATTTAACTCAGCCCTGACTTCCTTGGGTTTGTTGCCCAGTATATCACCAGGTCTATTTCACCCCAAATTTCTTAAAATAACAATCAGGAGTTTTGCGAAAGGCACTCCTGAGCTAAATCAGCCCAATACTGAAATCCAATCTTCCCAGTTTCACACAATCACTGAAGCTTTTCATTCTTACTCACCTGTCCGTTCTCATCGCTCAATCTTAATATTTATGACCTTATTTTTCCTAGACATGAGGACATCCATGACTGAGAACATTTTCAGAATTTAACAGCCACTGAAAGGGGGCAGGGGACTTCTTGCAGGATATCAGTGGAGACTCGGGCCTGAAATGTGTCCTGTTCCTAGATTCCCAATGAGAGGATGGATGGAATGTAGAGTTAGAGCAACACAACTTCCAGCACTAAATACCAAGGAAAAGTACTTACACCTTGAATATGCCAGGAACTGCAAGGAATTGTGCCGGATACAGGAAGGGGTGGAGGTGGGGCACAGGGGTAAGATTTAAGAAGGGAAAACAAGGTTGACACATGACTATTCTGAAGAGGCTGTGCCTGACAATTATTCCAAGTAGACCCTGAGAGAAGGGCTCAGCTCGAACTCCGAATGTGAGGAGCAGAGGGCAGAAGAGGCTGTGAGGCTCCAGGGGGCAGGATTCTGCCTCTAAGGGCAGCTTTATATGCACACAACCTGTGGCACTCAGGGTCCCAAGATGTGTTTCACCTAATAAATAAGATATTAAAAATCTGAGCGCATATAAAAACTACCTAGGAAGTGGGCAGAAGAGTTCAAAAAGTAAATGTCAAGGAAAACACTAACATCTACAGAAAACTGGGCAGAAGATGATCTGTCAATAAATAGTAACACAGAGACATATCCAAGTGACCAGCAAACAAGGAAAATGTTCAACCTCAATAAATAAAGAAATGTAATTTAAAACATCAGTATGTTATTTTCAAGCATTACATTGGCAAAAATATTTTTAAATTGTAAGGCTCAGTATTGTCTGGAGCAAAGTGAGGCTGGCTGGCAGAAGTAACTGACAGCTACGTGTCAGACTCTTCAGATGGAAAAGTACAAAAACAAGTTCTCCGAATAGCCTGGCAATACAGCATGTACAGCTCTCAAGCATTCCATATTCTCACTCCCCATCCAGGTATTCCACTGCTAGAAATTTTTTCTAGAGAAATAATCAAAGATACAAAGAAAAATGTATGAAGATGTTTCCCAGAATATGAATATATATATATATGTATAACTTCAAAACCCTAGAAATAAATTCAACAACCAAAAGTAGGGGGTTTATATTACACCTATTTTTAAAAATCACATTTCAAAGACTATTTAATAAGGAAAAATGCTAGAGATAAAAATTTGAAAAAAAACAGACAAAAAGTATCTAACACATTAATTTTCAAAAAAAACAAACAGTATTTCCAAATATAGGGGGAAAAACACTAGAAGGACTTACCACAATTAGTTACAAATGATGTCCTAGCCTATGTTGATATTAGGATGTATTTTTATTCTCTAAGACTTCCTATAGTAGGGTAATTCTCTACAACGTGCTGTGTCATATTTCATTAATTCCAAGCTACACGTCATTTGTTCATCCTTGACGTCTCTAAAATTGATATACATGTTAAAATTGGTGGCCTTTCTGGCTGAATGACATGTAGTGTTACTTTTGCACTCCACAATATAAAATAAAACAATAATTATCATTTTCCAAAGACCCAAAGGGAAATGCTCAATGAAGAGACCCTCAGAAAAGAGGTACTAATCCCCCAAGGAAAACGATGCCACATTGCCATTCGTGGAAACAATAAGAGTTTTGGTTATTTTCACGGATCTTCCCCCAATCCAACTTCCACAAAAGTGAAAACTCATAAAAACAAGTACAAAGGTGAAGAGGATCTCAAGGTACAGAGTTTTCCTCTCTCTCTCTTTTTTTTAAATTAACTTTAATGGAATGTTTAGTTTGCTGCTGTGAAGAGAACAGATTCTTGAGGTTAATCATTCCTTTTTGCTTTCTAAATATGCAAACAGAATTTTAACCCAACCTGGGTAAGACCTGCCTTTTCAGGAGGACAGAGCAGAAACAGAAAGCTGAGGAGGGACAGAGGTTAGGCTGATGTAAAAGCTGAATGAAATCATTTTCTTCTTTATGTCTGCTTTATGTCCACGGAGCCTTCACTTCTGCCCACTGCCGAACTCTGGGGACGAGAATGTCCTACATAAAGTACACGCGTGGAACAGAAGCAGCCACTTAAGCCCATAATTTCTGCCACTTCTTGTACCTTTGACCC